ATCTATCTATCTATCTATCTATCTATCTATCTATCTATCTATCTATCTATCTATCTATCTATCTACCTTCTATCTAATCTATCCATCATCTATCTATCCATACCTATCTATCACCTATCTAATCATCTGTCTGTCTGTCTGTCTGTCTGTCTGTCTGTCTGTCTACCTATCTATCTATCTATCTATCTATCTATCTATCTATCTATCTATCTATCTATCTATCTATCCATCATCTATCTATCCATACATATCTATCATCTAACCATTATCTATCTATCCATCTATCTAATTTATATAGCCACGCATCTTACAAAATGTGACCCTGCTACAACAATCGCTTAACAGCACAAAGAAAAGAAGGCAATATTAAAAAGATAAAATCCAGATTAAAATAAAAATTATAAAAAAACAAATATATCCACCCTAGGCAAAAGGTGGATAAGAATGAGCACCTAGGAATGGAGCCATTGAGCATGTCTTCACTTCTTTGCCAATTCCAGGTGTGATTACAAGATTTCTAGAGGGTGGTATTTTTTTAAAGATATTTTTAACCCACCTTTATTGGTTTTATAAATGACCCAAGGTGTGAACATAGTTGATACTCCTTCCTCCTATCTTCCCCAGTTCAATGACCCTGTGAGGTTGCCGAGAGAGACGGACTAGTAGCTCAAAGTCACCCAACCGGTTCTTTCATGTCTAAGGAGGGACTAGACCTCACAGTCTCCTGATGATTGGCCCAAAGTCACCCAGTTGGCTTCCATGCCTAAGGCAGGACTAGAACTCACAATTACTACTTTCTAGCCTGGTGAACTTACAACCAGGTCTTGAGGGTTTTCCAGAATATCAAAATGGATGGAACTAATCCAAATTCAGGGGGAAGAATGCTCCACAAGGCATTGCAGAAAAGGCAGATATCCTGAGATATATGGTTGCTAATAATGGTACCTGCCTAATGCCTTCTCTGCCAGATGTAATGGGAATGGCTGATGTAACCGGGGACAGGGAGTCTCTTAAATGGTCCAGATTTGGAGATGGGAACATTCAGATCAACTTCTATGTGGTTTATGTGTCCCATAAGAGGAGACATTCTCAATGCTAGGTGGCGCTGGCTCTCCACAAAACACACATGCCCAAAAACTGAAGTTTAAAACACTCTTCCAGGCTTGCTTCCAAATAAATCTGCAAAAACTAGGTTGTGCTGATTACAGCCAACCCCACCCCTTGCATGACGACCATAGCTCAGCTTGCAGTACAACTTATTCCAAATAACAAGGAGCTACAGCTGGTCAGAAGCTAAAATTCTGCACATGGTGTGCCGTGAACTTAACCTTCCTGCTACGGATAGAGTCCCCCGAAGTAACTGCCCCCTAACGTACCGAGTAAACTGCTTGCTCTCTTCATGCACTTCCATCTCCGAGCTCTTGAATTCGTTCAGCTCCTTCCGGATGGCAGCCTATATAGAAGGACCGAGAAATCCTATCAGTTTCTGGGGTTTTAATGGTCGTTGGACACTCTAGAAACAGTCCACCCTGATGACCAGCAAAATCAACAGGGGAGCCAGATTCACTTAATATCCTTGTGACCAACTTAACAATAGCAATAGCACTTAGACTTATATACCGCTTTATAGTGCTTCACAGCCCCCTCTAAGCGGTTTACAGAGTCAGCCTATTGCCCCCAACAGCCTGGGTCCTCATTTTACCCACCTCGGAAGGATGGAAGCAGGAGTGGATTTCTACTGGTTCAGACCGGTTCGGGTGAATCGGATGTTAAATTTGCATCTGGTTCACCGAACCGGTAGTTGAATCAACTGGCTGGCCCTACCCACCCCTCCCGTCCTCTCCCAGGAGTCTCCACACGGCCCATTTTTGATGCAGGTAAGTGCAGGGTCCACACGGAGGCTCTGGGAGGAGGGAAAATGGGCCTTCCAGAAGTCCAGAAATGGGCCTGTTCCCAGCTTCTGGAGGAGGCCATTTTCGCCCTCCCAGAGACCCAAAGGAAGCCTCTGGACCCTTGGGAAGGCAAAAAATGGCTAAACCAGAAGTTCCACTAGGCCACGCCCACCCTGGCCACACCCACCCAGCAACTAGGCAGCGAACTGGTTGCTGGGATTTTTGAATCCCACCCCTGAATGGAAGGCTGAGTCAACCTCGAGCCTGGTGCGATTTGAACCGCCAAATTGCAGGCAGCCGGCAGGCAGGCAGAAGTAGCCTGCAGTACTACGTTCTAACCACTGCGCCACTGTGGCTCAACTGCAGTGATTCTCTTAACAACTAAGGCAAGAAATGAGTAAGGAAAATGGGGCAAAACTCAACAACTGTCTCGCTTAAGCAGCAGCAATTTTGAGCTCAATTGTGGCCGTACGTTGAAGGCTATGAATGTATCAAGGTGTATGCCCAAGAGACAGACACCCTCCCCTTCCCCTACATAGACATAGTTTTTTATGGTCATGATAGTAGGCAGTTCCCCATTGTGGGTCTAGCTCAGGAAGTATCAGTCTGCAGGAGTGGGAGGGTATCTGGTTGGGAAGGTCATGAGATGCAGCAAGAAAGGAAATAGGTGGGGAGAAGGGATCTTGATACTCAGCAGAGGTGAGCAAGAGGATAAATATTTATTTAGCCCAGCTATTAATATTAGCTATTAATAACATAGCATCCCAGATGTACATTAACAACTAAGATGTTTGGGTCCTCCAAATATTGCTGCTTGAACACCAAGATCCAATCCCTTGTCACTGGTTACGCTCACTGGTGTTGTGGGTAGTTATACATTTATAAACGTTTGAGAAGACTCCGGTTTTCCATCCCAGTGTAAATGATGGTTTTACAGTAGTTTGTAAAGCTGATATTCTAAGACTGATGGAGAGGGGGAAACTGCAAGACAACAGCAACAAAGTGACAGAAAAGATAGACTGCGTGCTTGGGCTTCATTTAGAGTAACGGATTACATCCTGTAAAATGCATCCTACTCTCTAAATGCATCAGAGGCTGTTAAAAATAGGTCTGGCTTTGAAAATAGTCCTGGGAATAAAAGAAAGGCAGCTGAGGACAAAAGTGGTGCTGCAAATCAGTCTTGTGTTCACAAAACAGTGTAACTAGATCCCTTACACGCCTAGTAGCTGTAATATACAGCAAGCTAGGTTAAATGAATATCCAACGTGTTTTGGGGTTGGCTCTGAGCGTTAATTAAACCCAGCTTGTTTTGGAAAATCAGCGAACTGGAAGGGGACCTATAATTTTTATTAAAGACATTTTTAAAAGAATAAAAACAATATGAATTTTAAAAGGGAAAAGAAAGGGAAGTAAATTAATAGGGGGGAAGTATAAAGAAACAAATAGGGAAAAGAAAGGAAAAAGGACAGAACAGGATAATGGGACGGGGGAGGAGGATGAAGATAAAGGATAGGAAGAAGGGAAAGGTTCAATGCATTGTATAAACCTAGAACATATTGTATATTAAAGTTGACTCAAGGTTGACTTAGCCTTCTATCCTTCCGAGGTTGGAAAAAATGGGGACCCAGATGGTTGCGGGCAATAGGCTGACTCTGTAAACCACTTAGAGAGGGCTGTGAAGCCCTGTAAAGTGGTATATAAGTCTAAGTGCTATTGTTATTCCTCTCCTCCTTTCCTTGGCAATGCAGTGGTTAGAATGCAGTATTGCAGGCTGACTCTGCTTACTGCCAACAATTCAATTCTCACCAGCTCAAGGTTGACTCAGCCTTCCATCCTTCCAAGATCAGTAAAATGAGGACCCAGATTTTGGGGGGAAATAGGCTGACTCTGTAAACCGCTTACAGAGGGCTATAAAGCACTGTGAAGCAGTATATAAGTCTAAGTGCTACTCCTATTAATTAAACTGCTTCTGCATTCAAGGTGCTGCTTTACCTCCTATAAAGGCCTGGCGATTAACTGGGCCACCTATTTCTGATAGTTTTGGCCCTGCAGGGATATCAGGTAGAGCAGATGTGCTCTGGGTTCCTTCGATTAAGCCACGCCACCTTGCAGGACCCAGGGAGCATCCCTTCTTTATTTCAGCACTTGCCCTCTTGAAACACCACTCTCCCCAAAGTCTATAGGGCTCTTCCCATGATGACATTCCAAACATCTTTGAAGACAGGGGTCTTCTCTCAGGCCTAGGAGTAGTGTGGGCACTGAGCCTCTACCTGGAGGTTTCTTATTACAGTCACATTGTAAAGTGCATGCTTTGTATTTTTTAATTTTAAGGTGCCCTGTGTTATTTGGAGTTCTTGGGCAGTCTCTTGGTTTCAACGATTAATGATTTAATGACCCAGCTGGCCAGGTTAGGCTTAATTATGTGAACACAGCAAAAGCAGGACTAGAGGGAGGCTGAGCAGAAAGTTTTTAACTTTGCAATTTTCACTTTTACTTTGCCTTTTTACCTTGTCAGCAGGAGTGAGTTTTGTCCACGGCTTGTCAGCTCTCCTGTCATAGTCATGGGCATCGGTAACCTCCACATATTCATTAAACCTCAGGATCTTTCTGGCCTGCAGTTCAGCCACTGTAGGCCTTTGGCTAAGCTAAAAGGCAGAGAGAGAAAAATCTACGTACTAAAGTCATCCCACGATATTCTGCTGTGCAAATTGATGCCCTGAAACCTGTGCAATGTCACGCTTCCTGGGCATTGCACGGGGCCAGCAATACAGGAAGGTTGAAATGCTTGTGTGCAATTGTCCTCTGATTAAGACTCATAATAGTTTTGCAAGACTAAGTTGCAAAGACTTCAGTTGAAAGTCATGAGTATGACAAACCCATCATTCTCACATGCTGATGACCAGCTAACACTAGCCCAAATAGCAGTGTTACAATAATAAGGCGAGGGTGTCACTTCCATTTCCTTCTGACCTTTAAAATCTCCAGGGTTACATTTTCAAAATAAGCCTCTGCATATTTCATTTCCACAAACCAGCAGCCTGCAGGCATATTGGGATTACCAACTGGTTGGGATTTTTGAGAGTTCCAGAATGCTTCTGGAGGGCACCAGTTTGAGGAAAGCTGAGATATATTGAACAAAACCTCATTTCAGGGTTTTGAAAGTCTAATACTTGAGGTGGTAAAAGCCAGGAAGGGAAAGACATAGAGAGACTTTGAGGAATGCACTTTGTACACCCATTTGGGGCTCACAGCTGCATACCCATCTTTGCAAAAAATTCAAAGCAGGCTTTTGGCCTGGTTATCTGAGGGACCGTCTCCTGCCGGTCACATCTACCCGACCCATTAGAGCGGGGAGGCAGGGAATGCTGTGGGTCCCCCCCCCACACCGAGGGAGATACACCTGGTGGGTCCCAGAAGAAGGGCCTTCTCTGTGGTGGCTCCCTCTCTCTGGAATATCATTCCCCAGGAGATTAGAACGGTCCCCACTCTTAATACTCTTGTGGAAGGCGCTGAAAACCTGGTTCTGCCAGCGGGCTTGGAGAACCCAGAGAGGGATGGAGCCCATCAAATGGCTCGTGTGATCTGCCGTCATCGGGACAGGATGGGTGGGAATTGGGAGGCGGGGGGTATTTTCTTTTTTTCAGATTTTGTTCTATTGTACTTTATTAATTTATTTTATTCTTTTTGTTAGTTTTTATTGTTTTTTATTTCTGTTTTTTTGTTTTAAATATGGTTTTACACTGTGTAAGCCGCCTTGAGTCGCCATGGGCGAATAGGCAGCAACATTAATTAATTAATTAATGCAGTGCTTTGGCAACCTGAAGATGTATGGACTTCAATTCCCAGACTTCCCCAACCAACCATGTATAAGGCATATCGGAATGGGGTCAGACCAATTATCCTATGATTTTTTTTTCCCTATCCTTTTTATCTCAAGCACAGATTTGGCAATAACCTGCTGAACCCACAGGAGGCCAGAGTCTAAAGTTCTTACCACTGCAATCTGGACAGAATCTCTGAATGAACATCTCAGGATCAAGACTGAATAAAACTGCAACCCCTCTGTTGAGAGGCGGTGACCTTCTCCGAAGGGTCACCACCTACAGATTGCTGTGCAAATGGGAAAAACACCCGAAGTATCACATACCTTCCGAGTGAGCCTTCTTTTTATTTCCCTCTTCTCAGCCTGCCGATCAGCCTCATTTTTTGCTGCCAAATAGGAAGAAAAAGAAAAGATGTTGAAATCTCTTTCCTGGTTAGTTTCATGCGAACCATGATTAGGTAAGGCCTCAGAATATTAACCTTGTAGGTGTGTACATGTTGACCAAATGGTTACCATTAGTCTTGTATTTATTTATTTTATTTGTCAAATGCTTACAATATAATAGAAATAAGAATAAACATAAGTATAAATACATGAAATAGGTACTAATAATTGGGGACAATAGGACAGGGACGGTAGGCACGATTGTACCCTTATGCATGCCCGTTACAGACCTCTTAAGAATGGGTGAGGTCAATAGAGGTTAGTTTGAGGGTAAAGGAGTGGGGGTTTGAGTAGGTGATAACAGAATCAGGTAGTGAGTTCCAGACCACTCTGTGGCTGAAATCGTACTTCTGCAATCAAGTTTGGAGTGGTTAACATTATATCTGTTGTGTACTCTTGTGTTGTTGTGGTTAAAGCTGAAATATTCATTAACTGGTAAGACATTGTAAAATATAATTTTATGTACTATGCTTAAGTCCAATTTTAGCCGGCATAGTTTAAGGATGTCTAAGCCTAGAATTTCAAGTCTGGTGGTGTAGAGTACTCTGTTGCAAACAGAGGAGTGTAGTACTCTTCTTGGAAAATACTTCTGGACTTGTTCAATCATATTAATATCTGATATACAGTGCAGATTCCAAACAGCAGAGCTGAATTCAAGTACTGGTTTAGCAAAGGCTTTGTATGCCTTAGTTTGCAAATCAGTATTGTGCACGGGAGATATTAGAAATTGTGTCAGGGAGATATAATACATAAGACCTCATAATACATAGGCTAAAATATATAAAGAACAGTTGCTGGAACTGGGTATGTCTAGTTTAATGAAGAGAAGGACTAGGGGAGACATGGTAGCAGTATTCCAATATCTCAGGGACAGCCACAAAGAAGAGGGAGTCAAGCTATTCTCCAAAGCCCCTGAGGGCAGGACAAGAAGTGATGGGTGGAAACTAATCAAGGAGAGAAGCAACCTAAAACTAAGGAGAAATTTCCTGATAGAACAATTGATCAGTGGAACAACTTGCCTCCAGAGGTTGTGAATTCTCCAACACTGAAGTTTTTAAGAAGCAATTGGATAACTATTTGTCTGAGGTGGCATAGAGTTTCCTGCCTCAGCAGGGAGTTGGACTAGAAGACCTCCAAGGTCCCTTCCAACTCTATTATTCTATTCTATTCTAACAAGAGTATCAACTATCTGGTAGACAAGCATAAGGGAAGTCTTGAGTTGCCATTACTTACGCTGAAGTATGTTCCTTTGCTCCAGTTCTTCTGCTGTTGGTCTCTGGCTTAATCGCCTTTTTGTTTTTTTAAAAAAGAAAAACATTGTTTTAGGCAAAGGCAAGTACACAAAAGCAAGCGCTCATCATAAAAATGTCATCTTTTTAAAGGAGTATTTTGGCTTTGAAGGCAAAAAATGATACTCTGGAACAGGGGTCTCCAACCTTGGCAACTTTAAGACTTGTGGACTTCAACTCCCAGAATTCCTCAGCCAGCACAATTCTGGGAGTTGAAGTCCACAAGTCTTGAAGTTGCCAAGGTTGGAGACCTCCGCTCTGGAAAGTGTAGAATCACGAACCTAGCACTGGTTTACTCTTCTTCCAATCCAGCTGGCTTCCAACAAACAAAGTCAATGTGGGGAAAGCCTTCTCTAGGGTTATTTGGGGGTTGTGGGGTCCAGCTGCAGAATAGCTGGGAAAGGCGCGGCTGCCGTGAGACCTGCCGGACAGGTGCTACACGGGCCCACCTCCTGATCCAAAACTGTGTTTTTGCTCTGGAAGCCAAAATGTTGCACAATCTTATCTTCCTGAAGGAAATTTCTCCCTTGTAATGATACAAAACACTATAAAAGGCCCCGGGAAGACTCCAGTTGTGCAAGAGCTGCAACCCTGGAGCCTCAAGGTCTATCAGACACAGCTGGAGGCGTACGAACCCTTCAAGTTAAGAATTAGTGCAGAAATGAATGTATGGTCCTTTCATGCAAACATTCAACAGCCTGATTTAGAAAGAAAAGCAAACAGAAAGTACTTTATTCTGTTTGCTATGGTTAAGCAACTGGAGGGCAAGAAAACACTTGCTGGCTTATGGAAATCCATCAACTGGTCCCAGTCTACTTATTGTCTGTCTGTCTGTCTCTGTCTCTGTCTTTCTCCCTCTCTCTATCTATCTATATCACAACATTAAACAGCATATCAACATTAGGATTTCCCTTAATCTCTTCGTTGCAATCCAGATTAAGACACCTTTTTTCTTCTTCTGATTGCACATGCACCTTATTTAGAAAAAAGAACTACCCTTCCCCTGAAGCCATTTTATGGCTCTGCAGAAATTGTGGTGCCTATGAATAATACTCTTTAAAGATAAACGTCCTTAGTTTCCCAGCTAGACCGAAGCAATCGCACTTAGACTTACATACCATTTCACATTGTTTTACAGCCCTCTCTAAGCGGTTTACAGAGTCAGCCCCTTGCCCCCAACAATCTGGGTCCTCATTTTACCCACCTCGGAAGGATGGAAGGCTGAGTCAACCTTGAGCCGCTGAGAATCGAACTGCCAAACTGCCGGCAGTCAGCAGCATGCAGTACTGCGTTCTAACCACTGCACTACTGCAGCTCAAACAAAAACAGTGGTATGAACTGAAAGTTCTGTTCGTAAGATGTCAGGTAATCTAAACAGGTAACAGGACTGCATACCTTTAAAACTGGGGAATATGGTCTGGATGGCAAGCATACCCATGTTCGTGAGGTCTTTGGTGCTCTCTGAGGTCAGTGGTTTCCTTGCAAACGTTTCCTTACCATACTAGGTAACATCGTCAGCGCTAGTTGGGTAATGAAACATCTGCAAGCAAGTCACCAAGTTCAGAGAGCATCAAGAGGGTCAAGCCTGAATTCAGTTACGTGATGGATTGGTTTATAACTTGGTTATTCGTATGAATTCAGTTTGCTTGGGTGCTGAAAAGGGGGAAGAGTTGAGGTGGATGGAGCTCCAGGCAAAACAACATAGCTGGACGATGAGTCAGCCGCATTCCAATGGCTGCCTGGCTAGAGGAAGGAAGAGCGAAGTCACCAGGCAACCGTTTCACATTCTGGTTGGACAATGGGACATGTTGTTTTGGAAAACTGAGAAAATCCTAGTTATAGTGACGTGGAAAGCCGGGAAACTTTCAGTACTAGCTTTCCACTAGTTAGTGCCAAGATGGTGTATCCTAATAAACTTGTTCTTTGAGGAATTGAAATGTCTCAGAGTTCATTTAATAATGGTTGCTGTCAACTCATAAAATATTCCTACACCTGTTTTAGTAATTGACATAAAAAGGGGGGGGAGGGGGAGGAAATCTGGAAGAGCAGTGAATCAGTTTGAAAATGAAAGTACATTCCAACTCTTATCTTTGAAAGATTGGAACTAAGATACCAGAGCTTTTGCCTGAAGATATATTTAATTGGAGAATGTGAATGATAACACCCAGCCCATGAACGGGCTTAATTGGAGAATCTGTTTGAGGAGAAACCCAGGGGGGAGGGGGGAAAACAGGGTCAAAGGTGACTGTAAATTATGTATGCCGGAGTTGGCTTCATACAGGGCAGTGCAAGTATGTCGCCTCTAATGAATCCTTTGAAGTTTTTTGAAGTTTGGCTCAAGAATCATGATTTTATTAGGGCGATTGCTGGAATCCTGACAGGGTGCATTACTTGGAACCTGACACAAGGACTCCATGGTTCAACCCTGCGCTACGAACATTCTCTTCTATCAATACCCAATAGAAGATAGAGGATTATGCCCAAACTCTTAACAACATGTTTACAAGTAATCCAAATGCTTGCTTTTACTGACTTTAATCCATCCTACCTGATTAGTGTTGTCCCAATCTGCTGTCGGATTTCATTCCATTCTTCCTTGCTCTTCCGAGGAAAGGTACTCTCTCTTGGCAATTCCTGCCGGGGAGCCATGTTCCCCAGTTTCATAGCCAAGGTGTCTTTCCTCTTGACTTTATTGGCCAGGGCCGCTGGGGAGAACAGGACAACAAACAGTCACAAGGCAATCAAAAGCAATGGATGGATGTATTCCTTGATCAAATTCAGAGAACTGACCCAAGCCGAAAAGTCTTGGATGTGTGTGTGCAATCTTTAAACAGATTAAAAAAAACACCATTAAAAAAAAGAATGATGTACACCTAGAAGAAAAATATGTACAAAAAAAGGAAACTAACATACAGGGAGCCCTTGACTTACATTTATTTATTGACTTCATTTATTGACCGTTTGAAGTGACAAGGACTGTCATGCCCCTGTCAGAGTCTGAATCCGAGGAGGAAGCCAGACAGCTAACAGGGAGTGGGAGTGTGGTTCCGTTGGCTGTGGAGCAGGCTGGGGAAGGGCAAAGTCTGGCTGGGCAGAGCAGGGGAGAGATAGAACAAGGGAGAGGGAGTTCAGAGGACGACCCAGACCCACCCCCTCTTCATCCTAGGGCATGCAGGGAGGAACAGAGAAGAGAGCAGAAGCTTACCGGGGAGGAAAGAGCCCTGATTACCTTCATTAGCCACAGCTGGGAAGACAGTTGATAAGAAAGGCAGGCTGCGTGCGGCAGGCTGTTGGGAGCAAATGTGACTTTATCTTGTGTTGTCGTGACTTATCTGTGTTCCTGGTGTCTTCCCAACCATGTGAGTTTTGCCATGCCTTCAAGTCTGAAATACTTGCTCCTGCCTTGCCAAACTAATTACTTCAGTTTGGCATGTTTGGACTTTTAAGTTACAGTTTGTATTGACCATGTTTTGGACTTAATTTTCTGCAATCAAAGGCTGTTCCTGGGAGAGTTTTTCTTCAGCCACAAGATAACCTGGACATTGGGGGCAAAGTTGGAGATAACAAAGGGGCTCTTATTGATTATCTGACTCTGTTGCCTTTGTGCCATGCCCTGGGTCATCAAAGGGCACTGAGAAAAGGGACTTATGACTGTTTTTCACACAATCATTGCCCCAGAGTCATGTGATCAAAATTTGGATGGATGGCAACTGACTCATATTCATAATGGTTGCAGCGTCCCGGGGTTGTTTGATCCCCCTTCGACGGGCCTTGGGACAATCATAGTCAATGGGGAAGCCAGATTCACTTAACAACCATGTTGCTAAGTTAACAACTGCAGCAATTCACTTAACAATGGTGGTGAGAAAGGCTGTAAAATGGGGCAAAGCTCACTTCACAAATATCTCACTTAGCAACAACAGAAACCTTGGGCTCAATTGTGGTCGTAAATCAAGGACTACCTCTACGTCCAACCATGGTTAAATCGTTAAAGTCCTGTTCCAAGTTCTGCATTCTTGACATGCGGTAGGAAATTCAGGCTGATGGGTGCATTACTGGGGGCAAAAATGGCTCGATGACAATCACACTTTTCTGTTGTTGTCCTCAGCCAGTCCACGATTCTGACCTAAGTGAGAGCAAACGTGATCCTAAAGGCAGGGGGTCAGCTTTGGAAGCCCTATTGAGACCAGATGCTCCCACGCTGCCACATTTGAGCTTGGGAAAGCGGGAGGGGGGAATTTCTTGGAGTGTATGTAGTTAGACATAATAACTTTCTTTTTCTCATTCAAGGTCAGGTTGTTTTGCGCCTAAGTGAGGAGAAGTCTCAAGTTGGGATGGATGGTGATGGGTGCAAAGGTTGGATTTGTAGTTTTTACTTATTGCAAAGAAGCCCGGATCTTTCAGATTCGGGATTCCCCAGTTTTGCCAGTTTACTATCCAAAATAAAAATAACTTTTGAGAAGATGTGTCTCGGAGTTATTGGTTGGGAATGGAGATTTGCTAGAATGCTGACACAGGGAAGAGGAAAGAGAGAGAGACTCTTACTGTTATGGCTTTCGTCTTCATCTTCCTCCTCCTCCTCTTCCTCCCGGTACAAAATCGGTCCCTCTGAGTCCGAATCACTTGGCCCCTCGTCTTCATCCTGCACCGTCTGCAGGATCAGCCTGGGAATAACCGCCACCATTGGGGCCTCTCCAATGTACACGTGGTGATTGGAAGGACAGGCATCTCCTGAGCCATCTTCCTCTTCTTCTTCATCATCATCTGGACTAAGGAGTAAAGGACACATAATAATCCCCTTTATATAATAAGTAGCTCGATACCAGTGCTTCACTATGAAACTATGTGGTTGGGCTTAGTTTTGGGGGAAGAAAATAAGGTGGGGGGGGAATTATGTCTGCCTACTATCATCCATCAGTATTCATCTGGCTAGTGTCTTGTCAGTGTGTGAGAGAGTTGAGGGCTGTTTGGAAAGTGAAACACTATTTGCTGTGTGAGCAAGAAGAGACAGCAAGGAGCCTAGACATGGCTTACCTCAACTGTTCTGTACTAAAGCTGCTTGGTGCTTTGAAACTGAAACTGAAACTCCTCTCCTCTGCTTGTGTTTTGCATTTGGAACAGATTTCTTTTCAGGTGGGGAGGAAGAGTAGATCTCCTTAGCATCAGAGCATGTTAATAATAATATAGGAAATATTAATGCTCTGATGGCCATTTCAAAAATTCCTTTCTTAGTGAGCACGCCAAATTTTAAGTTTGTAGACTTTACAGTTCTGGAGATTTTGTGATGATGCGTGAGTGGTATTTTGCTTTTATATATATAGATAATAACTACTATTGTTATGGGTGTATTAATTAATAGCTCTAGAACTACCCTAGCAAAGCAAAGGACCAGTTAATGGCCTGCAGAATAGCATAATTTATCACAAGCCCGACAGTTCTGTAATATTAAAATGTTATGTGGAGACTTCCCTCCACAAGGAAGATAATCTGGGATTCCAGAACTTGTTTAGCCATTCGGACTTGAATTCTAGGAGCCATCATCCCAACAATAAGGAAATTGGATAGATTGGAAAATGTTTGGCCTGAAGATGCACATTGACTTGTTTTAAATTCTCTCCTGAAAGGGTCCTTTCTCAGCTATTAACACTGGAAGCACAGCAAGCAATGTATGTACTGGGAACCCCACAGAAACACATGCCAAGAACCCAATCTGGACAAATCCCCATCATCTGCTATCTGATCTGGAAAAAATCTTTCACTTAAGATAATGAGATATCTTTCTTTTTTTCTACTCTATCTATCATCTATCTATCTATCTATCTATCTATCTATCTATCTATCTATCTATCTATCTATCTATCATAGATCTAATGATTCTAATCTATCTTCCATCATCTGTCTGTCAATCCAAATTTTTTTACTACCAGTTCTGTGGGCGTGGATAGGTGGTCATGTGATTGGGTGGGCATAGTTAGGTGGTCATGTGACGGAGGGGGTCAAAAGTCTTTTTTTTTCTTTCCCAGTACCCTGTTTTTGGCCTAGTGGGTCTCAAGGAAGCCTCCTGGGCGCTGAGAAAAGAAGTATTTTGAAGCCGGCCAAGGTAAGTACAACAGTGGGGGTGGGGGAATCCGCTGTGCCATGTGATTTAGATTAGCTAGAAAGCAAGAAATCGGATGATTCCCTGCTTTCTAGCTAATCTAAATCATGCAGCACAGCTGATCATCTGATCGTCGGCAATGTCAGTTCGGCTGAACCGGTAGCATATTTTACTACCAGTTCTGGCGAACCGGGATGAACCAGCAGCATTTCACCTCTGTTTTGCACCCAATCTTGTACAGTACTGCACAAGCATATCAACTATAGAGACCATGCTTGTCTGCCCTCCTAACAAAAATTAAAACGCAAACAGGTCAATATGATTATTCCACCATCTTTACACAGTTTAGATTCTTTCAGTTTAGATTTATAGCGATTTGAGTCTCAATTTGAAGACCACCGTGGTTAAATTAAATTTGCTAGCTTGTGGTTTAGCCTACTCTGGGATTTAGCCCTGGTCTTAGCACGCGATATGAACTGGTCACTCTATTTAGTCATCATATATGGCTTGTTTGTTTAGCTACAGCATATTTATTATGTGAAGATAGCTATTGTTCTTTTTTTATTTACCCAAGCTTAGGATTGGGTATATTGGATGACCCCAGCCAACACATCAATCACTTGTAAATACTTTTAGGTATCCTTCTCCACTCTAGTGCCCTCATAATATGCTGGATTACACCATTAATCATTTCCAGACAATATAATTGATCTCAGGGAGGGTCAGCTAAATGGCGGCTTTTCACAAAGCATACTCAGTATCTCCACAAAGTAGAGGTATGAAAGAGAAAAGCACAGGGATCAATCTCAATTGAGAACATTCCTATATAGGTTGTCCTTGAGGTACAACAGTTTATTTAGTGGCCTTTCGAAGTTACCACAGCACTGAAAAAAAGTCACTTATGACCATTTTTCCCCACACTTATGACCGTTTTGCAGCATCCCCATGATCACGTGATTTAGCTTTTGGATGTTTGACAAATGAATCACATTTATGGCGGCTACAGGGTCCAGGAGTCACATGATCCCCCCTTTTGTGACCTTCTGACAGGCAAAATTGATGGGGATGACTCTGATTCACTTAACAAATGAAGAACTGCGGTGATTCACCTAAGAAATGTGGTACGAAATACCTCACTTAGCGATATAAATGTCGGGCTAAATTGTGGTTGTGAACTGAGGACTACCTGTATGTGGTTTAAATCTGCACCTACTCTTAATTTTAACTAAAAGAAAAAGTTGACGCTTGAGAGGAAATACAGAAAAGGGGTGGGGGGGAGAGCAGCCCAACCACACCCGGGTTCTGACTAGCAAACCCCAGTGTGACTCACACTTTCAGCAACTCGATGGTCACAGGGAGAGACCTCGTCCTGCCTACTGTTCCATTATCCTCGCTGGAGCCGTCATTCTCGAAGAGCAACGAGTGAGCCCTGTGTGAGCCTTCGGCAGGTGGGGTTGCTGGCAAAGGGCTATTCAACGCCTGCTGGATGCGGATGTGCAGAGGGACCTGGGACAACCGAGGAAACCCTTGAGGTTCTCCAAACCCCAGCTCGGCCACTCTCTTGGCTGGATCCATCACGGAGAAACTTTCTTGTTGACTGTCCATCCGTAGCTCCGTAGAAAAGGGAAGCTCTGCTCCGTACAGGGAGATGGGCAACGGAGCATTGGGGGCTTCCGATGGAAGGTAAGAAGGCAGGGAAGGTGAAGGAGCAGCTGGAGGGAGAGTCGAGATCATGTGTGGAGGTAGCGAGGAAGGATAGGACGATGACATGATCCTCTCGGTTGGGGATTTGGGAGCAGCGGCCGATTCCAGCAGGGAAGGTACATTCAGCGGAAGGCCCCTCTTGGGAGGCAGAGGCGGTGAAGGCTTCAGCAACGGTGCACCACTGTTAATCACCTGAGATAATTCAGCTGGAAAGAAAGAGAAAGCCATTACACTGGGTGACAATGAAAGTCTTTATCACAGGATGGATCAGCTCTGCAAACACAGAACCTTTCTAAACCATAGACATGCGTGATGTTGTGGCCCGCCGGCGGCTGGCAGAACTGACAGCAGAGTCGGACAGTAGTGAGGAGGTTGAGGAGGAACCCGGACCAGTCCTGGAGGCTGAGGAAGGCTCGGACGAGGGCTCTGCATCAGAGGCAGAGATGGGGCCAGGGCAGGCTGGCAGTTATCAGCTGCCTTCAGGCTCAGACAGCAGTGAGGCAGGGGAGGTTCTGGAACCGGTTCCCAGCCTGTGCGTGTGCAGAGCTGCCAAAAGGAAGACACAATTAAGAACTCAGGATCGACATGGTAGTAAGGCCACAGCTGGACAATGAATGACCCCTCCCATCAGGATTAAAAGAGAAGCAAAAGGGGAGGAGGCTTTTTCAGGAAACAACTCGCTCATTCGGGGGTTGTTTGTTTGTTCCAGCCTCGTGGAGATTTGTCTGTATATCCCAGTCTTTTGCTGCCAGCAGTGAGTGTGGAACTATTTACCAGGCAGCATTCCAGGATTGATAAAGGTCTGAGCTCATTAGTCTACCTTCGCAAGGCTGTTTGCCGAGCTGTTGGCTGACTGTGAATGAAATAAAGTCACATTAATGTAATAAAAGAGGTTTTTGCCGCGACTCAGAATTGACTTAATGCTTTTTAGGGAGGCCTAGGACGAAACACATGAGAAGCTAATATGTTAAGCACCTATAGACCATTCCCAGAGGTGGGGTATACACATCAGTTATTCTCAAGTTGTTAAGTCAACCAGGATTTTAAAAAAAAAATCCCTAACAGCTCAGCTGCTAACTCATTGCTTTGCATACCTTCTTCATTTAATTCAGGGGTGTGCAACCTTGGCAACTTTAAAACCTGTGGACTTCAACTCCCAGAATTCCCCAGCCAGCATAGTATAGCAGGGTGAAGAATTCTGGGAGTTGAAGTTCACAAGTCTTATGATTGCAAAATTGACACTCCTGATTTAACTAGAGCTGTGTCACCTTTATGGGATGCAAAGTTTCATTATTTTGCTCTAAACGAAGATTTCCAGTTTAGTCTGTTTTATTAACAAGACTGAATCATCTCGTAAGACTTTTATTTCCCCCACCACACCCAAGACAAGATACAAGATACAAATATATGAAATATATCAAGAAAGGTATTAAGTTTGAAGCTGGTACAAGCTATGAATGCTGTGGAACAGATTTGTGATACTATTATTTGTGATACTACTATTTTGGGTCCGATTCCCCCAACAATACATTTGAAGGCAAATTAAACCAGGTTTGAAAAGAGGGGAAGAACAACTTTAGGTTGTTCTTACCACCTACATGCTGCACTCTGGATTTCTGCCCAAGATTTCACAGCTAGGTTTCTGACTTCACACAATGATCATCAACAACAACCTGTCCAAGCATGTTCAGGCAATGAACCAGCTCCTTTCTTCCCTCACTTTATTGTCTTTGTACAAATTGTTACCAACTCTTTGGTAGTCTTTCAAGTATCAGACAAGAAAGCAATTCTTATAAATGTAAACCTCGTCAAACTTGCCGGGGAAAGGAAAATTCGCTTTGGAAAATTGGTAAGACACATTTTACAAATTGCAAATCAATCTTGGAACATACAAGAAGCAATTCTGCTAAACAGGACAAGTTGTCCAGTTACAACTCAGAAATGTCTGTTCGGGCAGAGGACACTTTCTGGATATAAAAGCAAAGCTTCTATTTTTACCCTTCCATATAAAAGAAGGCAAAAAATAAGGACTTGTCACATATTAGGTGTCATGCCCCTGGTGGAGACTGACTCTGAAGGAGAGGAGGAACAACCGACAAGGAATGGAAGTGTGGCTCCGGAGGTTGTGGGGGAGGCTGGGGAAGGGCAGAGGCCGGCTGGGCAGTCAGAGGAGGACCCAGGCCCATCCCCTCTCCATCCTAGGGCATGCAGGGAAGAGAGGATAAAGGAGAGATGTGGTCTACTCGTGAAGAGAGGACCTTGATCCTCTTCATGCGCTGCAGCTGTGACAACTAAATAAGAGAATGGACTTACGTACTGGCAAACGCTGGAAACAAAGCGTGGAAATATCTCTAGTTTATGGTTCCTCTCTGAGTTTGGTGTCCTTCTCAGTGTGTGTTATTTGTGGATGTCCTCCAGCCCTTATCTTGCCTGGTTTGTGTTGCTTTTTTCCTTCTTCATGTAACTGTTTGTGTGGGAGGTTTTTTTGGCTTCAAAGATATTTGGAGCTTGGAAGCAAACTGAAGGAATAAAAGGGGCTTCACCTGTTTTCTGTGTTTGTTTTGTATCCCACCCTGGGTCATCACATTAGGTAGCACATAAAGATGCTTAGGACTTAGCAAGCCAGTCCTAAGCACCTTTAAACGCATTCATACATTCTTGTATCGCTGTGAAGTCTGAGAAATTTTCTGAAATGATGTCTTATCAGATATTCATACCAGTAGTATGTACGACCACAATTTTGCCCAACATTTCTGTTGCTAAGAAATGTTGCTGGTCTCTGACAGAAAACCACTTGAAGAGACCAGAGACTAGCATTTGAAATGTGGATTTACAGGCGGTTGTTACGTGTAAGTTGGGCTGACAAAATCAGAAATGAGGAAGTGATAATCCACCTGGGAAAGCCAAGGGAAATCATCAAAATCATTAAAAAAAAATGGAAGTTAGAATATTTCAGACATGTGGTGCGATACCTGGAAAAATACGGCCTACTTCATTTAATCCTCCAGGGAAAGGTTGAAGGCAAATGAGGTCAAGGCAGAAGAAGAACATCAGGGCTTCAAAATCTAAGGGGCTAGTTTGGACAAAACTCAGCAGCACTTTTTCGTGAAAAAAATAGGATTGCCAACATGATCATCAACGTCCGATGATGGCTATGGCACAAGGAGAAGAAGAAAGAAAGTTGTAAAGTGAGTTTTGCCCCGTTTTACAACCTTTCTTGCTACAGTAGTTAAGTGAATCATTGCAGTTGCTAAGTTAGGAATGCAGTTGTTAAGTGAATCTGGCTTCCCCGTTGATTTTGCTTGCGAGAAGTTCGCAAAAGGAGATCCCATGATCCCAGGACACTGCATCCGTCATAAATATAAGACAGCTGCCAAGCACATGAATTTTGATCGTGACATGGCGATGCTGCAGCGATCATAAGTGTGACAAATGCTCGTAAGTCGCTTTTTTTAAGTGCTATTGTAACTTCGGTCACTAAATGAATGTTTGTAAGTCAAGGACTCTCTGTAACCTCAAATCTCAGGGTTCTTCCCAAGGTTACTCATGAACTGTGGGGCCAGGATGAAGAAAAAATTATGTTGATGCTATGGGCTTTGCATTCAGTTGCAAGCTGTTCCACTCATAACATTAAACCGTGGTTTGTTTTAACTATGATTAACTGAACAAATTTATATAGCTGCCCAACTCACACGGTGACTCTGGTTTGTTAAATAATCCACAGTGTGTCGGACAATAAGCCTGGTTTACAACCCACAGTGACTTGTCTTGCAACATGTGCTAAAGCAAAGACAAGCAAGCTGTTTTATGGTTTAAGGGTTGTAATCTTAAGACTTCCCCACATAATCTCAGCTGCTTTCTTTTCAATGAGCTTTTTCTTGTTCGTATTTGTGTTGCTCCATCCCATAAGAGATCCAAGGTAGTAAAACTCGGCAAGTTACACAAGCAGGCAAGTTTTTGCGGTCCTTGCCTTATGTGTCAGAAACGAAAGCCCCGTGTGCATCCGGAGTTGAATTGCAACATCACTCTCCACCCCCAACTTCCAGAATGAATTCTTAGCAGGTGAGCAGGAACAGGTGTAGATTTGCAAGATCGTCTTACATGTCACTCTTCTTTCTCTCCACACCCTCAAACCACAGGTATTGCAAGGCCCTTCCCTAAACTACCTGAGCTACCTGCTGGTTTCACTCTCATCCCCTGCCCAGGGGTCCTGTTTCCAACCAGCCCAGGTGAACAGCGAGCCTGTCTGCATAACCAATACTTCCTTGAAATGAACTGCCAGTTCTCCAGGCCTGTTCTTCTGGGCAAGACGTCAACGCAATGAAATTTACCAGCAACCTGATGGTCTGGCTTTATATATACTGAAAATATACAGAAGAAAATAAACAGACTAGAACTGAACAAATCTGTACTCAGAAGCGAGAGATATTTTTGCTTGGGTACCATTTTGATCAGTGCGCTAGACCAGGGGTGCCAAACTCCGATTTCATTGAGGGTCGCATCGGGGCTGTGGTTGACCTCAGGGGGAGGTGGGGGGGGCGTGGCCGACAGGATGGGTGTGGCCAGGTTGAGGCCATTCCGCAAACTGCTGGCACGTTTCCTCTTTGCATTGGGTAGACTGAGCCAAAGCCACATGGGCCGACCCTTTGCATTTCCACATCACGGGCCACATCAGGCCCGCAGACCTTGTGTTTCAGACCCCTGTGCTAGACTATTTGATGGACACAGTTGGAAAAACTGTTAACCCATTCATATCACAGGGACACGTTTTCCACAGGTGTCCATACAGGTACCCTCAACTTATGACCACAATCGAATTTCCATTGCTAAGCAAGAGAATTTGGGCTTATTTTGTGATTTGTTACATAGATAACTGTAGCTGTTTAGTGGATCAGTCAGTCACTTAAGCAAATCTGGTTTCCCCCACCAACTCTGCGTGTCAGAAGCCGGCTGGCGAGGTCACCAATAGTCATCACATGACCCCAGGGCAACTATCATAAATACATGCCAGTTGCCAAGCATCTGACTTTTGCTCACGTGACCATGGGGATGCTGCAATAGTCACAAGTGTGGAAAAACGGTCATAAGTCACTTTTTACAATGCCTTTGTAACTTCAAACAGTCACTAAACAATCGGCTGTAAGTCATGGACTGCCTATATTTTGATTGTGGGCCTCTTTGGGGTGGGGGTGGGGGGCGGGATATATCCTGTGCATCATGAGACGAAGGATGCACTTACATATCCACATCAGACATCGTGAGTGTGAAGTTGCATCGTTGCACGACGTCGTTATTTGGATACCAACATGGCTTGTGACAGATGCCACCGATTCTGAAACAGGTCAACTCTCCAGTTTCTCGTCCAAATGCCTTCGATGGCCAATCTGTTTACACAATTCTTAGAGCAGGAACAGGAATGTTCCAAGGGCTTCAAGTCCAGGATTTTGAACTTTCCAAAGAGGCACAGGAAGCTGTTAATGGATATGAGGTCATCCCTGGGAAGGACCAGGTAAACTATTTATGACCCCCAAAAGCATGATTTTGTTTTGCTCCTTCCTTTCCTTTTTACAAATTTAAGAAACCACAGAAGACCATGTCTGGATGGCAAATCACTGTCATTTCTTCTTCTACCCTTATAATAGCCTGAAACCAGCACATAAAATTTACAGTTGGGGTAGCAGGCCAGCCAACATGGGGAGGTCTTCAGATTTTGTAAAACAGGGGTCCCCAATCCCAATGTCAACTAAAGAGATACTCCTTTGTTCTTTTTAGCTGCCAGCAGAAAGAGAGTAGGGGGGGGAAACAGTGCATTCCTCAAGTGCCTAGATAATCGACCTGGCAGCCCAAAGTTGTCGGAGCGCAAGAATATTACTGGAGAGCATGACTGATGACTCTTGGCTATGGATGTGTCCCATTGGAGAATATACATCCAGGGGGTGGGGGGAAGACCAGGGTCAAAGGGGGAAATGAATGATGCATTGGCTAGCTGTCAGGACTCCAACAAATACATCCCCGTTCAAATCATAGGTCTCTAGCCGCATTTCTCAGAGAAGAGAAAATTGATTTATTAGAAGTGGCCATGTTGGCATTAGCTGGATGCTGGATGCACTCCACCCTGGCCCATGGACCGGAACCGGTCCACAGCATACCAGTAACCGATCCATGCAAACAAGCCAAATCCCATCCGCGGGATGCAGGCAGGACACGAAACCACACCCCCTCCGGATGGCGGAAAAACCTCTCTCCATAGAACTGGTCCCTGACGCCCAAAAGGTTAGAGACCGCAGTTGTCGAACAATCCAAACAAAAGGAAGGCCCAAAGATCACACTATCAAAATCCCTCCAGTTTTCAGCACTGTAATCTCAGAATACTGTAGGGCCTTCTTCTCTGTTTTTGTGTACAGCCTTCTGCGATCTGGCTCTCCCACGGCTCCACCTAAGGTAGGGGAGACTAGGTTGCAAAAACACTTGGCCAACAAATTACTTAGCATAAATGTCATCCCATTTTAATCCCTAGTATATAGCAGGCGCTGAGGAAGTAATCAGCATAATGAGGACACGGAATAATTTTAGAATCCGGTTAAATTGTACAACAAGGGACAATGGAGAATTTGGAACTTAGGAACAGAAAGGTGATATCTGGGTAGGTCACATAGAATGGACCTTTGGCTCTGCTCTGGGAGGTCATCCCCAAGCTCTTGAAGATGTAGCCTAGAGTTGAACTTCTCTTCCATTCAGATAGGCCAGGCTTGTCTTTAGATGTTTATCTAATTGCCAACTACTGTATTTTTACCATGTTGACTGTTAATACATTTCTCCATCTTACATCTTCATTTCTGGGCCCAGTTTCAAGAAACAACCATCAACGCATTTTACTTCAGAAAAACAGCCATCAACTAAAGGTGAAAATAGGTGGATATCCTGGGAATGGACCTCTGGACAAGCTGGCCTGAGCGCTACAAATATATCTTACGCACTCTACCCAAAAGTTAAAGCTTCAGTTGAAAAGCTGCATCCTTACTTATCTTATTACCTTACTCATTTCTCTCCACAGTACAGACCATATTTTTAATTTTAACTTTTGAAGAGAAGGTTGACATTAGTGGGGGAAAATGTGTGATTTGCACCCTTCATGTCATAGTGACTTTCTTGAGGTGATTTGGCTTTCTCTATTTTTAAACTTGGGAGCAATTTTTAATCTTCTTTTTAAAAAAATGATATGATGAATATTTGGGATTTTGGTTTCTTGCTGTAACTCAAGGGTTGTAAAAGAGTGAACAGAAATACTGCCACACCTAAAGGACCAAATGGAGAGATGAAGGCAGTCTTTTACAATCTCAGCAACTTTAAGATGTGAGACCTTAATTCCTGAATTCTCCAACCAGCTGACTGAGAATTTCTAGGAGTTGAAGTCCACACATCTTAAACTTAGACATTGGATTAGACATCATGGACTTAAGGACAAAGAAATATCAAAGCATTTCAACCTTCCAGAACAATCCACAGGAGGCCTCTGAGTGACTGCTTTGGAAAAATGAGACTTTAATAGCACCATCAAATGAGAAATAGTTGGCCTCATCAACCCTCAAATGGTTACTTCAGAAAGTCTCAACAAGTGGGGATTTAATGCATTACAATTGTTAATTAATAAGGTATGTTAATTTGTTTCAAATGTATAAGCATAATTGGTCAAAGCATAAGCATAAGTGGTCAAAGATCGAAATAAAGTTTTGGTCTGTTTGTCCAAATAATCAACCTAAATTCCCCTTCCTTTCCCCTCCACCCACCCACTTCTTTCCCATTTAAATTCTACACCAGTCTAGCCAACTCTCTGCATCTGATAAAAGCCTATACCTCTTATTAAAATTTGCTAAATCAAAAAATCTCTGAGAAGACACATCTAAGAAAATAGTTGCAATCTATACCTTGGAAGAGAGACCTCTACCTGGGCACCATTCAGAGCAAAATACCCTGGAAAATGCTGGCACATTTCTACAAGGAACTTTAAGGATACCTTTCCATTTCTCTAGGTCCATCTGGAATACAATCTATTGTACGATACTAAGATTTTAAACTGATATAAACATCGCAAATGGAAAGTGGATTGATATTTGCATTCAAACACGGGGTAGCTTTTTCACTGAGCTGGAAGAGAAGGGACAACCTTATGGGCCAACAGCCAAGTTCAAAACAGCATCACTGGAAAAAAAAGTGAACAGCAAAATCAAATGTCAGCAAATCAAGATCTTACTTAGAGGCAGTTTGGTGCGGCAGTTAAGACACCAGGTTAGAAACCAGGCCAGTCCCTTTCTTTCAGCCCTAGGAAGGACACAATGGCAAACCGCTTTGGAAAAACCTTGGCCACAATTGAACAGAAGGAAGGGGAAAAGGTTAGGAAAGAAAAAAACAGCCACTTACCTATTAAGGGGTTGCTATTCCTATTAATAGGCTTGGGTGGTGGCACAGGGGGCTGCTTGGTCGGGGTGGCATTGCTAGCACTGGTGGCCGAAGCGTGGCCACTTGTGGGAGCAGGGAGCAGAGTCCGGGGTGCAGGGGTAGGGGCAGCACCCCCTTTTGTTGTGCTGGTGGCGGCTGCAGCTGTGGAATAAGACACAGTCCTTGCACTGCTGTTGCCAAAGCCAAATTCCCTTGTTTGCAGATCACTCGTCTCCTGCGAAGAGGATGACAACGGTCGTTTTGGAGGAAGCAGCGGCTGCTTGGGAGCAAGGGTCACCGGATGGGTCTCTGTTTCTGAATTGGGGTGATTGCTGTAAGGTCCTGTGAAGAAACATTCCAAAAAAGATTAACCCCACCCCCTGAGCTGGAAGGAATCGTCCCTTAGTTCACTGAAATATTGTCTGCAAGTAAACTTTTTCTGTTGCATCCATACTCTCTTGATATGATGGCTGTATTAAATATACAAGACGCCAATAAGGAACCACATTCTCTAATTCAGCTCAAAATCTGGTTCTATGTGAGCCATTCCAAATATTCCAGATATGAATCAAGCCAACATTCTTTTCCATGTTACAGCATGGCCTTGGGCCATCCCAAATCAACATGCGTCCACTGTTTAGATGTAATCGTATTATTTGAGATGATCAGGCTAAGTCAGAGGGCTGGATCAAATGCGTCGTAACTTTGGAGTCACCACACTCCCACAAGGAACCTAAATACAGTTCCCCATGAAGTTGTTGACTCTTATCTAGGGCCAATTTGCTTTGGCCGTTAGTAGATCACATTCTTGTGTATAGGTAGCATGAAATCACTTGTAGTACTTTTAGTCTCTATGCTGGTTTCTTGCGACTGACAAGTATGTGGGAATAAGCTTAACAGACAGAAGGAAGAGCCACAACCAAGAAACAGGGGTATGGGAAGAACAGAGCAGCTGTGGCACAAGGATTAGAGTGCAGTATTGCAGGCTAATTCTGCCGACTGCCAGCAGTTCGATCCTGATCAGTTCAAGGTTGACTCAGCCTTCCATCCTTCCGAAGTCGGCAAAATAAGGACCCAGACTGTTGGGAACAATATGCCAATGCTGTAAACCGCTTAGAGAGGGATATAAAACACTGTGAAGCGGTATTTAAGTCTAAGTGCTGTTGCTATCTCAGAAAGGACCCATCTTAGAACATAAAAGTAAAGGAAGGGAGCTGTGATTTCAGACTTGCAAGATTCTGTTACAGGAACCTTACAATGCAAACCTGGTTTGTACTTAGCTGGACTGCTTCCAAAGACTGACAGGAATTGCCATCTTCTACTAGTGCACTAGAAAAGAGAATGGCTGCGTTAAACCGTGTCCCTGCCGCTGAGAGAGAGAGAGAGAGAGGAGGGAAGGAGAACATGTCTGGAGAGCCTCGGGAATTAAATTTATTTCTACAGTCTAAAAGAAAGTATGAAGGCTTGGGCCATTTCCCAAATACCAAGGCTGGCATTCCCTTACAAAGCGTGGGTGGCAAGAGACATCAAGGTTGGTGAGTGGAGAGATGGAAAGTGATAAAGCGGGTAGGGCCAGGCCTTGCTACGATTAAAAAATAGCCACCTACCTATTAAGGGGTTGCTATTCCTATTAATGGGCTTGGGTGGTGGCACAGGGGGCTGCTTGGTCGGGGTGGCATTGCTAGTACTGGTGGCCGAAGCGTGGCCACTTGTGGGAGCAGGGAGCAGGGTGCAGGGGTAGGGGCAGTACCCCCTTTTGTTGTGCTGGTGGCGGCTGCAGCTGTGGAATAAGACACAGTCCTTGCACTGCTGTTGCCAAAGCGCGTGGGTGGGGATGCCTCAGAGACAAGACCCAAAACTGGTTATATTTACAATTAAGAAGTGATAGATAACAACATTTATATCTGAGACAACTTCCTCTACTCACGCTCACTCACTCCCACACACACACACACACAGACGACTTCTTAATTCCTCACCCTGCAGTTTCTTTGGCTCTTCAGGGGGACTGGATTTCTTAAGGCTCAACCTCTTTGCAGTTTCTTCCTCCAAGTGTGTAAGATTGACGATTCCAGAATAGTCAATGGGAATGGTGTGTCCATTTTTCAAAGTAGCATGAATGAGCTTCTCTGGCTCTTCTCCGTCTGGAAGGATGGGGGGGAGGGGAGGGGAGAATTAAGCAATCATTTGTCACGCAAAGCATGGTATCTCCCCAATGTGCTCAGGGCATGTAATTTATGAGACAAATCCAGAGGAAGATTAACAGTGAGGAATATTCACTATCAAACTCAACATGATACAGCGTGCCCTGCCTATGGGATGGGCAGTCCAGTCCTTCTCGTTTTTCAAGAAATGGTGGGAGACCCTACTTACTAAGAGGTAGTAGTGAGGTTACACCAAGATCTGTGTGATCACTCAAGTGTGAAATTTCAATGTTGTTAAAAGAAAGATGAGTACAGTTTGGGACACCTGCCAAAAAAACCCAAAACCCCACCTGAAGAGAAAATAAGATACTTCTGGTTGACAAAAAGGGAGAAAAAGCAAGGGGTCTCTTCTTCCTCATTAAACCCAGGGGCCAAAGATGAAGTCATCCCTCCACTTTTCATGCCTCAGATGATGTGTGTCTGTGTACGTGTGTGTTTGGGAGCATGCTGTTAAATGTGAGTGTTTCTATACATCCCTTACAAGCTGCTGAGAAAGAAAAAGAAAGGAAGGAAGGAGTGGATACATTCTATTTAGAAGGTGATTCTGGATTTCATAGAAAAACAAAAAGGAAGGAAGGAAGGAAGGAAGGAAGGAAGGAAGGAAGGAAGGAAGGAAGGCAGGAAGGA